AAAATCCAAAATTCGGACCAAAGCCCGATTACGCATTCACCCCCGAGCCCGTATATACAATTGGTTTTGAAATCCGAGCTCAATTTGAGGTCTAAATCCCCAAATTTCGAAATTCCTAAGTTTTACCCAAAAATCCCCAATTCCACCATGAAAAACCCTAGATTCTAGGATGAAATCTTGTGAAAAGAAGTAAAAGATTGAAAGAAATGAGTTAAGAATCATTTACCTATGATATGGGGAAGAACTAGCTTTTGGAAAATCACCTCTTGAAGTTTAGATTTTGAAAAATGGGAGAATGAATGAAAAATCCCGTCCAAAATTGTTTTTGAACAGTTGCAGGTATCACATTTGCGATTAGGGGTTCGCAAATGCTAACTCGTATATGCGGACATTACTTCGCAAATGTGAAACATGGCCTGGCTTGCCATCATCGCAAATGCGAACAAGTGTTCGCAAATGCGGCATGTTTATATCGCAATTGCGATCCTGAGCTTCGCAATTGTGAAAGTCCCCTCCCAACCCTTTTGATCGCAAATGCGAAACATCTTCGCAAATGCGATGCTCGTATTTTCAAGCCAGACTTCGCAAATGCAAAGTCTACAGACCTGAAGCATACCAGCAAAAATTCCTTAATTTCCAAAACACTTTGTAGTCTATCTGAAACTCACCCGAGCCCTCGGGGCTCCAAACCAAACATGCACACAGGTCTTAAAACATCATACAAACTTGCTCGCACAATCAAATGCCAAAATAACACCTAGAACTACGAATTTAACACCAAATTGCATGAAATTTTCAAGATAGTTTCAAACTTCTAGCTTCTCAACCCAAGGTTCGAATCACGTCAAAGCAATTCCGTTTTTCACCAAATTTCACATATAATGTTTAAATATTATAATGGACCTGTACCGGCCTCCGAAACCAAAATACAGGCACGATACCAACAAGATCAAATCCTTTAAATTATTACATTTTCAGTCTTATCAATTTCGTTCAAAAATTCATTTCTCGGGCTAGAGACCTCGGAATTTGATTTCGGGCATACGCCCAGGTCCCATAACTTACTACGGACCCTCTGGGACCATCAGAACATGGTTCCGGGGCCGTTTACCCAAAACGTTGACCGAAGTCAACAAAAATTATCTTTTTAGGCCAAAATCATCATTTCATAAATTTTTCACATAAAAGCTTTCCGGATACACACTCGGACTGTGAACGCAAATAAAGGAGAGATAAAATGATGTTTTTAAGGCCTCGGGACACAAATTTGAGTTCTAAAAAGATGACCTTTTGGGTTATCACATGAAGGGCCCGGACTCGAAGAAGTACACCTAGTTGTCGTTCAAATCAAGCACAACACCAGAGTTGATCCGAAGCGGTTCAAAATGCAGATGTGCCGAAATATGATGGGACTTCGGACCCTCAGGAGCACATCACCACTTATATAGTGGTGGTGAAAAGAAACGACTTGGCTCAACATGAGATAGAGTCGGTCGTGCTGAAGAAGTTCAAAGAAACCCTCGCATAGGGGACCTTGACATGGTACTCACTTTTACCCGAACATTGAATAGATTCCTTCGAAGTGCTCGTAGATTCTTTCATCAAGGCCCATGCTGGGGGCCAGAAAGGTTCAGGCCTGGAAGGCGTACATATTCAGAATTTCACAAGGAGAGTCCGAGTTGCTGCATGAGTTCGTGATAAGCTTTCAAAAAGAACGGATGTTGTTACTGGCCATGCTACATGAATGGGCTACTGAGGCATTTACTAAAGGGTTGAACCCGAGGAGTTTAACTAACATGTCGTCAATATAAACTTCCATTGATTTTTCTATCTATTCTTCGAACATCCAGTTTACTGGGCATTGATAAGTGGCACCTGCGTTTTTAGTCCGAACGACATTACATTATAATAATAGGTGCCTAATTTAGTGATAAAGGAAGTTTTTTCTTGGTCTCCCGGGTCCATCCTGATCTAGTTGTACCCAGAATAGGCGTCGAGAAAGCTGAGTATCTCATGCCCGACCGTCGCATCGATCGTGTGATTGATGTTAGGCAAATGAAAAGAGTCCTTAGGGCACGCCTTGTTTAAGTCTTTGTAATCTACGTACATTCTTAGTTTATTCTCCTTTTAGGGACTACTACTATGTTAGTTAACCAATCTGGGTACTTAACTTCCCGAATTGAACCTCTTTTAAGGAGTTTAGATACCACGTCTTTGACGAATGCATGCTTGACTTCGGACTAAGGTCTCCTCTTCTATTTAACTTGGTGGAACTTCGGATCCAAGCTCGCCTTATGAGTGGTTATCTCCGGCGGGATCTATGTCATATCAAGAAGGGACCAAGCGAAACAGTCTATGTTAGTCATAAGGAATTCAATGATATTTTTCCTGAGCCGGGAGTTAGCCCCGTGCCCAGGTATACCTTTCGATCGGGTAAGAGTTCGATCAATATGACTTGTTCCAGCTCTTCGACCATCGACTTGGTGGCATCGGAATCATCGGGGGCGATGAACGACCTGGGGACTCTGTAATCATCATCCTCGCCTGCTCCTTGCTTCTCCGGTTCGGCCGAGGCCAGTATCGGTGATTGCTATTTAGTTACTTCCATCCTAACCAGCTCCTTGTTCTTTAATGTTGAGAGCGCGGACATTAGGATCACTTTATCTACTCAGAACATTTCTTTTGCGGCCGACTGCTTTACTTAAACCATCTTGATTCCTCCCAGTGTGGGGAACTTTAGTGCCTGGTGCAATGTCGAGGGTACTTTTGTCATGTTGTGAACCCAAGGCCTTCCGAATAAGGCATTATATATAATGTCCCCCTCGATTACGTAGAATGTGGTATCATGAATTGTCCCGACGGTATTTACTAGAAAAGTTATTTCTCCTTTGGTAGTTTCGCATGCCATGTTGAATTCGTTTAAAACCCGGACTACTGGCACTATTTGGTCTTGTAGACCCCAGCTGCTCTACGACCATCGATCTGATGATGTTGGCCGAGCTACCTGGATCAATCAACACACGCTTAACTCGAGATTTATCTATAAGTGTAGATATTACCAGTGCATCATTATGCGGTTGTACGATGCCTTCGGCGTCCTTATCATTGAACGAAATGGTTCCCTATGTGATATAATCTCGGGTTCATTTTTTCCTTGTGATGGACACCTTAGTGCACATTAGCATTGGTCCTTGGGGGACATCGACTTCTCCAATGATCACGTTGTTGACGTGCTAAGGTTCTTCTTGTTTGGTCTGTTTGTTGGATTCCCTGCTCTTGAAGTGATTTTTGGCTCGATCACTTAGAAATTCCCGGAGATGCCCATTATTGAATAGCTGGGCCACTTCTTCTCATAATTGTCGGCAGTCCTTGGTCCTGTGGCCATGAGTGCCATGGTACTTACACATCAAGTTAGGGTCTCTATAGGTAGGGTCAGAATATAATCGCCGAGGCCACTTGGTATCCTTGATGCGCCCGATGCAGATACGATGCCAACAGCATTACCATTGAAGTTATATTCTGATAACCTTGGTGCCTCCCTGGCCCCGAGCGGTCTATCGAACCGTTTTTGCTCATGAGTCCCTGGATACTGCAGCCTCGATCGTTCCTTTTCTCATTTCTTGTAGGGTTACGCCCAGATCCATTACTCCTTCGATCTCCGTTATATGGTTGATACCGGTCTTTGTTTGGTCTCGGTTCATGGTCGATGATTCTTTTAGGCCAGTCATTAGTTCTGATGGGATAAATGGACCCGAAGGGGGCCTCGAGCTGGTTTTCCTCGACTCTGATTTTCGAATAGTACCTGTTATGGACTTCAGTCCAAGTCACCACCGGGTTCTCTATCAAATTTTGTTTCAGCTGCTGCGATGCCAAGGAGCTTCGGGGGTTAAGTCCTTATGTGAATGTTTGAACGGCCCAATCATCCGCAACAGGAGGCAAGTCCATTCGTTCCATTTGAAACCTCGGTACGAACTCCCTAACCATCCCGTTGTCTCTTTGTTTTACCTTGAAAAGATCTGATTTTCTGGTCTCGACCTTGATGGCTTTGGCGTGCGCTTTCACAAAGGCATCTGCAAGCATAGAAAATGAATCAATAGAATTAGGGGGTAAATTATGATACCATATCATTGCTCCTTTTGACAGGGTTTCTCCAAACTTTTTCAACAAAACCGACTCGATTTCGCTATCTTCTAAGTTGTTTCCCTTGATGGCACACATGTAGGAGGTTACGTGCTCATCTGGGTTCGTGGTCCCCTTAGCAGATTGATCTCGTCGCCTTCATCTTCGGGCGTACACCGAGTTGCTGGTTAGGCTCCTCCACGAACATTGTTCTTAGGGTCGGTCGACATCGATGGCCACATACGAGTTGGCATCAATTGGGTCAGTAACTAGGACTCCATTGGGATCAGCAGGAGGACACCTCGTTGCTAGGTACTATATTGTTGTTTTCGCCATGATGGCCAGACCCAACATCAACGTTCAAGTGATCAGATTGAGAGTTAAATATTCTCAAGTAGATCTGAAAGAATCTCAAAGAACAAGCGTAAAATATAGTGTGGTATGAAAATTTGTATCAAACTACCACTATTATCCTTAGCCCCACAGTGGGCGCCAAACTTTTTACCCTTACAATGGATAACAATTGAATTTATATGCGGTTTTAAGGATATGTGGATTAATTCGATACAAGTAATTAACGGCGTTAGATAAGTAAATTAAAGATAGAATAAACAGCTAAACAAGTAGTAATATTGAGTCCGAGCTCGATTATAAGCTTAACAAGTAGCCTACCTTCGGTTCGGGACAAAACACTTATGAAGAACTATGGGCAAAATTAAGAAATTTGAATAACCTTTAAAAGCAGAGGAAACAGATGGATATTGCCTTGATATGCGTATTACAGAGTGACTATTGAATAACAAACTTCCCCTTTATATAGTAGGGGAATTTTACCCTAAGTACAATTATAAGAAAGGTAAAAAAAATTCTTTTCGCTAATCATTGATCTATTGCCGATACGGGCCGAGATTCACGCCATGAAATCTGGTCGGGCACGGATATCACGGCCCTTTGTTGTTTGTGTGTGAATGTTTGACAATGCTTTCCGAGGTCTCAGAGCTTGAACTGGGTTTGGAGAGCATGGTCTCGATGGCTCCGAGGACAGGTGTTTTGTTCGAGCCTTGATACAGGAGGCTCCCAACTTCAATTTTATTCATTGTAGTTACGCCCTTGCTTCGTTTCCCCCACCAGGAAATCGAGGTGCTCATTAGCCCCGATTTTACCCGTATACACTACCATCCTCTCCCAAACCTTCATCGTTTGGCTTAACAACTTCATATGGCTCCGAAGCAAAAAGGCATCAAATAGAAAAACAAGTGAGACCAATAATCATTGAAATGGGAAATATAATCTGTACTACTTTCACAAAACGTTTTTTGTTATTTAAAAGTATGTATTAAGACATGTTTTATTAGTTATGACAGTTTACTCTGGCGATATCAATTCTTGATGACAATTTTAGAGAACTTGATCTCCGCAATTCATTACAACATCCATGACCAGGTTTGTAAAAACCCTCTTACTTCGTAAATGGATAAACAACTTTATTCCAGACCGATAGTCAAGATTGAAATGCCATTGTTGCATTTAGTTCTCCTCTACAGGTAAAACTCGAATTATTTGCAACATAACATATAGTAGTATCAATTACCTTGTGGATCATTGCATAAAAGAGCATTCATCAACTTGAACCATATATGTTAGAGTTTCACTTGTGCTGTCATCCTAGAAAAGTTAATCTAGATTTGTTTCTCCATTTTCTTGCAAAACAATAGATAGATGGCAGTGCCCAACTTTCAAGGAAGACTGAATCAGTAGAAGAATGAAAAATGAAGAGGATGATCTGTACAGAAAGCATTTGTGGTCCAACACATTGAACTCACTTATTTTTCAGGGTAAATGCTTGTCACAAGAGGAGGTGATGAAACAGATATTTACTCGAAAAAGATGCCAAACTGTATACATATACAGTAGACTCAATAGTTTTAAAGATTTCCATTTGGTCTGTAGTACCACAACCTAGAACAATGGAAGAAATTCCGTTAGAAAACTCATGTTGGATCATCTCTGTCCACAATCGATTTCCACTGCTTTGGACAGGCAGGCTGTCCAATCCATCAATCAATCCTTGTTGTGAATCAAATGATTGATGTACAGTTGCTTGCAGGAAAATGCCCACTGCTTGTTCCACGAGGATAAGACTTCACTTGACCATATCCAAGTTGCGGTTAACACGTTGAAGAAATCATTTCACTCACAAAGCATAATGTTGTCTCGTCTAATTCTCTGATCCATCAGGAAAATTGGTCCAGCATAAAAGCTTTAATGTTTTTTCCTGAAGACGAATACATATATCTTATTTCACACATGCTTTGACATTCTCTTATGTTGGGGCTTTTCTCGTCCTCAAGCCATCTTTAACCTTGAAAGTATCTGATTAACATGAGCTTAGTTTGCAAAGGTAACAATGTACCTAAAAATTGATACCCTCAGCTGTCGAAAGAGAGTCTAGTAAGCTGCATTTCCCTATCCAGCAAAGCCAATATTGTACTTATTTCCTGTATGTGTGAATGCCACCTGTCTCCTGAAACAAACATATGAAACTCTGTTCCAACTTGAATCCAACTGCATCCAGGTCTTTTCCTAAGACCCTTTTTTTTCATCAAATCCCTTAGTTTTGAGACTTCATCCCATCTTCCAGTTGTTGCATATGCATTTGAAAGTGAGACATAGTGCCCTGAATTATCTGGTTCCATCTTAATCAAAAAATTAGCTATATGTTCCTCGAGTTGTGTCTCTCTGAGTTCTCTACAAGCCACAAGTAGTGATTCGAAAACATTTGCATCAGGTTTGAAAGGCATCTTCTGAATGAGCTGCATAGCTTCATAGAGATCACCGCACCTAGAGAGAAGACTGATCATACAACCATAATGTTCCAAACTTGGCTTCATATTATACAAAGAGACCATGTCATAAAGAACAGCTAAACCTTCTTTTACCAGTCCAGCATGACAACAAGAGGATAGGACACTAGTGAAGGTTATGCTGTCTGGTTCCACGCCTCCCTTGCATAGACATTTGAACAATGCAAGAGCTTCTACAGCACATCCATGTAAAGCATAACCAGATATCATAGCATTATACAAGGGTAACTCCTTTTCTGGGATCAGATTAAAAATGCATTTTGCACATTTTAGATTTCCGCATTTAGCATACATATCAACTAATGAAGTTGCCACTGGAAGAGATAATGGAATCTTTTGCCTTAAAATGTATCCATGAATGGCTCTTCCATCGTTCAGTGATGCTATATTTATAGAAGCTGAGAGGGAAGCAACGATACTTGCACTATTTGGTCGATACCCTGCTTGAAGCAGTTTTTTAAAATATGTAAGGGCCTCACTACTGTAACCATTTCGAGATAGACCACTGATAAGAGTAGTATAAGTAACTATATTAGGGTCTAAACCAACAGCTTTCATTTGTGAAAACATGTCTATGGCCTCATTTATCTGTCCATTTCTTAAGAAACCAAGAATTACGGAATTCCAAGATATGGTATTTTGCGGTAGACCATAGAGCTGCATCTGGTAAAACAATCTTAACGACTCACCACTCAAACCCCCTTCTGCATAAGCAGCCAATAATGTATTCCACAAAATTACATCTTTCTCTTTGGTATAGTCAAAAACCCGTCTTGCATCAAGGATTTTCTCACATTTGGCATACATATTTATAATACCACTAGCTACAACTACATCCTTATCAAAATTGTGTCTGATACAAAAACAGTGCCCCTCTTTGCCAAGATTTAAATTCCTTAAATCTGCTGAGGCGGATAATATTGATGACAGTGTCACAGAGTCAAAGCTAAAGCCTTTCAATCTCATCAAACAAGACAAGCTGAGAGCCTTGTCAATCCGACCAGAATGAAAATAACAAGACATTAACAAGTTCCATGTTACCACATCTCTCTCAATCAGCCTATCAAATATTAGCTCAGCATTATCAACCAAACCAACTTTAGCATAAAAGTTTATAAGAGAACTCCCCAAAATCTTATCTAAATCTAATCCACTAAGAATAGATATAGCATGCGCTTGCTTACCTTCTTCCAAAGCACATAAGTTGGCTGAAGCTGAAAGAAGGCTTGACAGAGTTACACGAGTTGGTTCAATTCCTTCGGTCCTCATATCATAGAAGACTCCAATAGCTTCCTCATTGTATCCATTTTGCATATAACTCACAATTATTGAGTTCCAGGCCACTACATTTCTTTCAACCATACAATCAAAAACCTTTCTTGCATCAGTCAAAACCCCACATTTTCCATACATATCAATGAGACTACTCGCTACAAATACACAACCTTCAAAACCTAATTTACAGACATGCCCATGAACACATTTCCCAAAATCAACAAAATTTAGGGCACCACAAGCTTTCAGAACATTTGGGAGAACAAAATTGTCGCCTAAAACGCCATTTTCTAGCATTTCAACGAATCTCCACAAAGCTTCTTCTGACAAATTCATCCTGCAACTTAGTCCAATAATTGCAGCCCAAGAAAACACATTCTGTTTTCTTAGTCTGCAAAACAGATGGTTGGAAACATCAAAAGCATCACACTTTGCGTAGAAAATCACAAGCTTTGTCTCAATGTACTCATTCTTGGCAAAGAAATCACCACTCTTCAGAATCTTTGAATGAATTTGCTGGCCCAATTGAAGGTCTCGCTCGTACACACAGCCTTGGAGGAGTTCACCATAGAACTCAGGTCCAACGTACAGATTTCGGTACTCCATTTCGTTGAGAAGGTCCGCAGCTTCTTGAAGTTGACCTTCTTTGCATAGAGACCCAATGCGTTTGAAGTAAGATTTATGGAGAAGTTTATCGTTTCTGCCATCTTCTTGGTAAGTTATGAAATGAGTGTGGGGGAAGTTGAGAGATGTTTTGGGTTTAAGGGTAAGGGTGTGTGGGTTTATATTGGAGTTAATGGGCAGTGAAGCCATGCAAGTAGCAGCAGCAGCTTAATTGTATCGTCTGAACTCTGAAAAAGAGTAAAAGATGGATATGGGGATCATTTTGGCCATACAAAATGCTTAGGTTGCTTTGGTCATTTTAGCACTTACAAAAAAGAATACTAGTTTCTTTCTGATATAAATAAAAGGTGAAATACATAAACGGTCATGTTTACCGTAAAAATGGCAACAACAATTAGATTTGTAAATGAGATTCTAAAAATACGTGATCTATTCCCGAGTTAGTTGTTAGAACAGTTGATGTTAATGATATTAAATTTAACGATAAAGTGCGAGCTAAAACAAGGCAGTAATCAAACCGAAGGGCCTGATGCCCGGTCGCGGGGCCGATCGATGGGGACCTCGGGGTCCAGGTTCGGGTCGAGCTCGAGGTATCTGGGGTAGCCGGGAATGGGATAACAATAAAGGATATGGTTAAGCAAGGCTCTATACGGCCAATGTTAAGCAATATAGTGAAGAACAAATAAGGGACGATCAATATTGAAGCGGCATCGGGCCAGTGAGAACAAACAAGTTAGAAAGAAAAGAGAGAGAGAGAGAGAGAGAGAGATATTATTGCACTTGTGGAGAGATGGAGCAACATTAGTCCTCTACAAAGCGGCATGGGTTCCCCTTATATAGGCGAGGAAACGCGATATGGTACAAAGTGCATTAAATGTAAAGATACGGGGATGGGACGGCTAGGCGAGGAAACGCGATATGGTATAAAGTGCATTAAATGTAAAGATACGGGGATGGGACGGCTAGGCGAGGTACTAGAGTTTGCTAAGTCCAACTGCCTTTATCGGGGCCGCTGGCGGTTTCCTTATTCTCGGAATCTCTGCTGGTTCGCGGACGATCCTCGAGATAGGGAGCTTGATCACAATACCATAGCCTCGAGGTGCTGACATGATATTCCGAATATACCTCAATGGCGGAAAATCGATTCCCCTGATTTCACCGTATTCAGATAGTCTCCGCATTTCCTAGAACGAAGTAATAGGAAGTGATATTGAATCGTCATCTCGAGGTCATTATTGCCATGATGTCAACCATCTAAGAGCATTAAATGTCATGCCCCAGAGAATCGTGCAGGGCCGCTGTCAGATGCGGTAATCAAGAAACCCACGAACTGTCGTAGGCTCGTCTCTTCTGCTTCTCTAGTGCTTCCTATAAATGCACCGGTTGCCAGATACTTCCCATCTCTACCTTTTTTGTAAGCCCGCGAACCATAATTTTACTACTTCGTATCCTCCCTCTTTTCTCAGTAGGGTTTTTATCATTCTCCATAGCTAGGACTTCCAGGACGGTCCCCTGACGAAGCGATGCTGCGTCGTCGTCCCGATTACCTGAGGGGGAAAACAAATCAATTACCACTTTAAAGCAATGGATTCCTCCTGATCTCGACACATCACAATATTTTGACATCGAGACTCCCTTATCTACGCCGGGTCGATGTGAGTACGTGTCCCGATATGTTAGTATCATGACCGACGATAGCAAAATGAGGAAAGACTGTCGATGGGGCGAGGCAGTGGAGATAGAGATTCCCGGCCCTAATGATAACATTACTGACTTCAAGGCTGGCTTTCTTTACATATACACTTACCCATTCACCCTGGGTCCTGATAAGTACGTCGAATCCCCGCCCCTGGAGATCGACCCGGTTATTCTTGACTTCTGTGCACGATATCAAGTGACCCTCAGTCAGATCTACCCGTCATTTTGGAGGATAATGCTAATGCTTAGGCATTTCACCGAAGGGGTTAGAGGTGAAGTTTTCACCCTTAGCCATTTGATTAGACTGTACCGCCCTCGGCTGTATCGAGGCTTAATCAAGCTTTGGCATCGGTCCAAAAATCTTTCTCCACGAGCGTTGATGAGGGGAAGGACCGAGGGTGGATGAGTAGGTTTATTCGAGTGAGGACCTCGAACATCATCCCGGCCCAGAGGATGCCCTTTCCCGAGCAGCGGAATGATCGACGTAAGCGAACTTCCCTTTAACCACTTCTCAGTTACTCTTTCATTCGTCATAGTAACCTACTTTTGTTCTCTACAGCCGCTACTTGGTGTCCAGAGGTGTTCCCAGATTTGTCGGGATGGATCAGGCGTTTGTATGAAAAGTTCTCATACCGCATTCGGTCTTGGACCATCATGGCTAAGGAGCGTTGGGTGGCCAAGAATCACGGTAAGGTTCCTTTACCACATGTGCTTCGCACTTTATGTTTCCTTCCAAGCCCTTAGCAAAACATATTGTGGTTGTTGTGCTGGTGCAGCCCTTGGTGAGAATATTCATATGAGGCCGCCCCCCGTTGGTGAAGCGGAGGCCTCGGGGCATGACATGAACAAGAAAAGGAAGAGCAGGGCAGTCGTTGCCTGACTTGATAGGACCGCTGCCATAACCTCCGGATCGAATCCTGACATCGAATGGGAGGACGACGAAGGAAGTCCGTTGAGGAGGAGAACAAGGTCTAGTGCGAGAGATTTGCAGGCGCCCCGACCAGAAGCTGCTGAATCTGGGACGACTGGCTCCGACCGGGATGGTGAGCAGAGGGTCCTTGAAGAGGATGCTGATGCAGCTTCTGCTAGGAGGGCCGTTGGCATTGATCCCGAGGGTCTGGAGCCCGGGGCCTTCCAAGAGCATGGGTCGCTGTTTGGAGAAATCGGCGACCCAAACGATTTCATTCAGAACTTTCTGGTCTTATCAGTAGAACTAAGGGACGCAGAAAGGATGATCGGTGCCACAGTTAGGACTCCTCTCAGAGGGGGAGACTTCATTGCCAATATTTTTGATGGTGTAATCGACAAGGCTGATCTTGATATTTGGTGCCGTTAAAGAGGCGGAGAAGTCCATACAGCAGGTGATAGCTTTTTTCTTGCACGTTTCTTTTCATTCTCGGGCATTATTCGCCATCTTTCTTCAACTTTCTCATTGTGCCGCAGTGTAAGGAGACGTATGATCATGCCATTCTTCGGCTCCGAGGGGAACATTTCTGCCACAAGAAGGAGCATAATAATGTTGCTTCGAAACTGCAAGACTCGGAGGTTCGTCATGCCCAGAGAGACAAAGAGTTGGGAGAACTTCGGACTGCCTTGGGGGCAGCGCTTCGGGAGAAGGCCGCTCTTGTTGTTCAGGTACTCTGCCTTGCTCATACCCGCCCTTTTACTCCGTATTCACACATGTTCTGGATTCATATATTAATCAACTTGCCCTTTATTGTAGGTCGAGCAGAGTAGCTCGTGGATTAGTCAGTTGGAAGCGGAGATCTTCAGGCTGAAAGAGCAAAACGAGATTGTGACCGGGGAATTGGCGACATCCCGGGATCTTCTCTTGGGAACTCGCAGGGAGATGGTTACTTTGGCCACGGCTAAATCTGAGGCCAAACGAGATGCTGCCTCTTATAGGGAGGATGCGACCATGGCGCATACAATGGTTTGCGATATGTCCACAGCAGCTGAGAAGAGACTAATTCGAGCTGTCGAGAATGCCAAAGAGGAGGTGAAGAGGGAGACCCTGGAAGAACTCGAGGCCAGAGGCTTTGATTTGTCTACCGATCTGGAGGAGGCTCATGCGGTGGAAGGGAGACTGGCGCTCCCGATTGCCCCTAATAGGGGTGAAGATGATAGTGGCGAGGAGTAGTCTCCGAGCCTTTTTTGTATACCTTTCTTTTTGCTTCATATGTTCCCCCCCTCCCCCGAGAAACAAATAGCGTAAAGATGTTTTCTCTCTTTGCCAATGTATATAAAAAAGGAGCTTTTATCCTGTCAGCTTTTCTCCTTGCTTCTTTGTTTTTGTGTTCCAGCACCGGCCCTTCGGGGCCTTTTTATGGGGTAGACTAGGGGCCTCGATACTAGCCATGTCCCGAGGTGGGATCAATAGTTCCTCTTGAATCAGTATTTATGACGTCAGGATCTTTTGTGATGTCGGGGATCTCCCGAGGTCCTTCGGTCTTATGAGTTATGTGGGAGCCTGGAATGATTCTGCCAACGCATTTCCCAAGAAAAGGTGATGCTTACACTGCTAGAATTAATTGGCCCTCTTAGGCAAACGAGCAGTTGTCGCTTAGCCTCTATATATTTTCTCGTCCGCCCTTCAAGCGATGATTTTGCAGTTTCTGATAAGCGTATCTCCTCTGCTGAGCCTGGCGCTTTGTGCGAGTCCTTCCGCTCCCCTGCTTCAAATTTTTTTTGCTTAGATCCTCATCTTCTTCCCCTTGTTCTGCTGTAATCATAGCCACCGCTTCGACGGCTGAACCTCGGATGGAGGGGAGTCCGTACTGCGCTCCACCCTTGGTTGGTACTAGCGGTTCGCCCCCGATGTCGGGAGAGCGAGACTCGGGTTGCCCTGCCTCGAAGAAGGTTGTCACACCTGGGAGACCTCCCAATGTTCTAGGCCATCGAGAGCATGTGTCAAGGATTGTTTCATTAGTGAGGGAGGAAAACATTGAGATGATTAGGAAAGAATGCGGATGGGGGAAGGCGTGATTTTGCGAGCGCCTTCCCCCGAGGAGAGTATCATGACATATGTTGAGGGGTTCTTGTGTGTGTATATCCACGTTCTTGCGTCGGGATCCCCAGACCGGGTCGGGCTTGATTTTTGTAGGAAATATCAAGTAACGTTGGTGCAGGTTCGTCCCTTTCTTTGGAGAATAGTGCAGTCGATGAGGTATTTTGCAGACAAGGCCGGGATAGAATTCACTCTTAGCCACCTCGTGAGGTTGTATCGGCCATTGCGTTATCGGGGCCTGATTGCTCTTCAGCATAGATCCACCCGAGCTCCCGCGATCGGCAGCGAGGAGGATGAGGACTGTGGTTGGATGAATCGGTTCGCTCGAATCCGGACGACCGACGTTATCCCCGAAGAATTTTCGCCATTCCCTAAGAGATGGAACCTCACTCGTAAGTGCTTCGTTTGAGCTATCTTTTAACTTGGCATGAGGTTGGCCCCGTAATGGTATCTTTCTATTCTTCTTTTACAGCGACTCGTTGGCTGCCTGGCAAGATCCCTGATTTAGCCGAATGATCTCGTAAGCTAGCAGCTTGCTCATCCTATGATAGGCGCCGGTGGCTAGATCTATCAAAAGGGAGAT